CGGTAATGCGTCTAGGAAACAGGCGTAAAAATATTATTAAGGTGTGACATATTTTAAGTGTGACATAACTATTTGGGGCCCACAGTTTTAGCTAAAACTCGCTTCACTCGTGTTTATGAAGGGCACTTCATGTTGTGTAATAAGGAAGAATTTTAAGTAGAGTTGAGCCGTTAGATCGTGCTATGGCAAATTTTTATACGTCATAGGTCTACATGGTTTCCGCTATTATCTGCGTATCGCTTCGTAGAGTTTGACACCTCTGTAAATGCCATGTGTTTATGTACTGTTTAGGTTCATTTCTTTCTTCAGGCTCTTGAATATGGGAATCAATTGGAGCGCTTAACGGACAAACAACATCTAAGATGGCAGCTCTGGGATATTCAAAACCTTGATCGTGTAAATATTCACAGACTTTGAGCACGAATGGGAAGATTAAAGATTTCCCGCATCCAGTCGGCAGCATCGCAAACACACCTTCCCGCTTGACGAAGTAAAGCAAGGCCTCTTCTTGACCAGGTTTTAACTCCAATATTTCTGTAAATCCGGTATCTAATGCGTACTGAAATGCGCCTCGAAATGCTCTCTCGAATTCATCACTACTATATATCCGCCTCCATATTGCTTGTTTATTGTTTCTTCGAGCAAAAATACCGGTTTTCACTGCTCCTGCGGTGCTTTGCAGTGGTTTAACCAATGAGATCCAGTGTTAGATCGTTATCACGCGGAAAGATCTGGCACTAGGTACAAAGACCAATCAACGACCGAATTCAAAACAAGTACGCACGGAAGTGAGGCTTATATTTGCCGCGTCCAGAGGGTTTTTTTCTCTCTCTCGCCAGGATCTCGATCGCAGCTTCGTTGCTCACAATCGCAGCTTCGCTACGAAAAAAGACCCTCTGGCACCCAGGTGATGTCCTGTTTTCTTTCTTTAGTTCAACTTGTTGATATTACTTCGGGTCATAAAGGAAATCACCCAAGTGCAGCCAACAGTAGGAGCTAATAATATTCACCAGATACGGTAAGAAGAACATTTAACGTAAAAGAAAATAGTTTGCTAAACTCTCACAACAATATTTAGGTCAGCAACGTTTGATACAATGCATGCTCCTGTCAACTTTCTCTGATATTCACCAAACATTTAGAAATGTTTTTTTTTTTCAATAACTGATGTAATTTATTGAAAGAGTAACTCGGTTGAGTTACCGTAAAATCTCGCATCAAAGCCCTGCGCTTATATCACTTCATAAGGGGTTTTGGGTGGGCTTATGACCGGTTGGGGTGGAAGGGGGCTTATATCTGAGGGAGGCGGGACATGTAAGCGGAATAAAAAATGTGTCAGAACGAGAAATGAGAAAAACGAGAAAAAAAAGTGTCAAAACGTATCCGAGAAAGGAAGTAACTAATATGCCATTACATTTACAGATATAACCCTATTATTACCCTATAACTTTCGACTGAAAAAAAATTTTGATGTTCGTAAAAAAAGGCAAAAGGAACGCACTTATACATTAGATGGGCTTATATCCGCATGAGCTTATATCTGGGATAATATCTTTGTTAGCAAATAGAAGGGCTTATATCTGGAGGGCTTATAACCGGGGAGGGGGAGGTTATAACTGGGGGGCCTAAACGAGGGATTTTACAGTATATAGCAGAATATAATTTGAATATTTTTCCGTTCTTATGTACATTGTTATGTCTCCAATTCAATAACAGTATATCGAATATTTGTGAAGCGTCTACATGCTATCAATTCATTACCATTATTATCTTTTTTGCAGACTTGGCATCAAAGCATGCTTGGTAATGACTCCTTTGCTTGGGACCACGTGGTTGTTTGGTCTTCTGACACCATTGCACAAAGCTGTCATGTACATTTTTACAATCCTCAACTCTACTCAGGTGAATTATTTGTGCCTTTTCAATCCGTTCGATTGCTTTTGCACTCTAGAGGTTTTTATTAATAGTTTGATATAGATTTTGTTATGGAAAAAAGCACTTTTCCGACTTGAATACCTGTATCTTTTTAAATTATAACTATATGCGTAATTATGCGGTGTTTGCTGTTTTTAAATGAGAAATTATAATGAAATTTGATAACGGTACGATCTAGTGGTTTCAGTCAGTATTTAATAACAATTGATTACGGGTATAGCAAGGTATTGTTTACACAAATTGTTAACTACACCACCGTGTATGCGTGTATATAATTTGCTTATTTTTAACAGCTTTCTTTTACAGGGATTCTTGATTTTTCTCCTGCACTGTGCAAGAAACAACCAGGTAAGAGTATTTTGAAGACAAGCAGGGAAACAAATAAACAATTTCTTCTGATTAATCCGTTTCCTGTGATTCGTTATCAAGTAAGAACCTAACGCTATCAAAAAGAATTTTCTGGCGCAGTGTCGAAGTGGTAAGAGCTGGACGGTGCCAACTCAAAGTAGGTTAGAGAAAACTAGCAGTTAACTTCATTTTATTTCCACTCAGTAAGAAAGTTCTCTCGCCGGTAACACCCAGTGTTAGAAAAAATAATAGTAATGTAAAAATAAATGTCTTAATTGATTACGCCCTCAGGGGGTCTTTCCAGCGCCAATGAAACCAAATGATGAGACAAATAATGCAAATGAACATAACATGCTTAAAAATCCCAACTGGCTGGGAGCAGCCCAGTTGGCTATTTACAAGCGCGTCCGAGGAGTTGAACTAGGATCTACTAAGAAACAACTTCAGCTTAGTAGTCGGAGTGGGACTTGAACCCGAGACCTCCGGATTTCAAGTCCTGCGCCCTAAGCACTCGGCCACGATGCCTCCACACAAGTATTGCCACTGAATAAAGTGAACAACTGTAACCGCACTCGCACTCGCCTCGGGTTAGCAAGTCAAAGACCAGTTTTGACTTGAGAACGAATCCAACTAGTTTGTGGATAGCTAACCACTCTCTGTATAAAAGGTTCAGCTAAAAAATAAATCAAGTAAGAGATATTTTTTCTCAATCAATTCTTTTTTGTTGTTGTTTAATCTGCAGTTCAGAAGAGAGCGGTTTAAAAGAAAGCTAGGCGTGATTTTTCCAGCTGTAAACGATCCACGCCCTGCCAGGAAAACTTCAAGGGTTAATCCAAGTGTTGTCGGCACGGCGGAAATAATTGAATTGCAGCCATGTAGCGGTGTCTTTGAGCTGAAGAAGCAGCGAAGAGAAAACTTTCAGTTACCCTAGAACTCTCTCTTGACTAATAAACCTACTTTGTTCTAGGAACTGATTATGAACGAGTTTTCCTGTGTTATCTTAAATGATAAATAAGACCTAAGTACCGTAGCTAGCGCTAGCAGTAGAGTTATGTCAAAATATATTTATCGCTTTGCTACAGTAGCCCAACTGAAGCTAGCTTTTATGCTGTTCTTAGAGATTATACAAGATTGTTTTGGATTCCCTCTCTGTTAGTTACAACGGGCGTTAGTTTTATAGCTGTCCGGCTTACGTTCTCCATGTTTAGTACGAATAGTAGTAGTACCGACAACGTTCTTTGAGAATGTTTAACTAGTCTAGCATTCTTCATAATGTTCTTATTTTCAAATGTTGTTGTTTTTAGTGCTCAGTGCACTAAGCTAGACCTAGTTAGTTGAACGACATGCCACTTAACTGAAGAAAAAGAAACAGATATATCAAGTAAACGAAATAGGCTTAAAAATCCCAACTGGCGAAAGGCAGATCAGTTGGCTATATGTACAAGCATGACTGAGGAGTTAACCTAGGGTATACCAAGAAACAAAGTTCAGCTGCTCGTGAAAAATTAAAAAAAAAAAAAAATTAAAAAAATCGGGGTTTTCTCTCTTTATCTTAAGCGGCTGCTAGTCTGATAGCTAATAGATTACGATTAAGCTTTTGATAATTGAACGGTTCCGTAGTATATTAGATCAGCCATGCTCAAAGGTGAATCAGCTTGATTACTGAACGGTTCGGCCATTTGCAGCAGTAAACCCGCTTAGTTACCTGTAACTCACCTGCACGATGCCACATATTAAGGTCGACGTTGCCCTTCGTGTCTTTTACATTAAAGTCTACATACGAGCCAGGCCGGAGCTTATCCCGGTTTTGTCGCATGAAGCGTTTAGGTGAATTTCTACTCCCCTCTGGATGGGATGCTAGTCCATCGCAGGGTTACCCCCAGCATTAAGATCACCAGTACCCATTTATACACCAGGGTGGAGAGAGGCACTGTGAGAGTAAAGTGTCTTGCCCCAGAACACAACACAATGGCTCGTACCCGGTCCGCTCGATCCGGAGACGAGGGCACTAACCATGAGGCCACCCCGCTTCTCAGGCTTTTACATTAACATTAAGGTTTTACATCCTTTGAAAAATATTCTGAGTTGTCGATATTTTTTCTAAAACTCCTTCTAAATTTTAAAATTGCTTATTCTTAATTGACCACTTCTTGAATTGTTCCAAACAGTTCTTTATAGCCATGTATAGTTCACTAGAAATGTATGTTTTAAACTAGCTGGCGGACTGGGAACTACCTTACATATATGGCTTAAGATCGTCGAGAGTTTTTTAGTTCGAGTTTGTCCTTGCTTTTTTTATTTTTAATTTACGCTACAGCTGCTCAGCGCGCTTTCGATATCCTTTGTCCTATAAACATGGAGCGAGGGTAAAGAAAAGTTATTGTTTAAGAAATATATTAACGCGAGTGAAAGTTTGGCAGTGACGAGAAATCCTGTGGAAACACTCGCCTGTATTGGATAGAGAAAACATTACATTTCTCTCTCACAACAGTCAGGTTTTCAAAAATAAAAATCATTTGAAAGCAAAGATAGCATTCTTAAAGGCTTTTATCTGAAAAAAATTGCTTGGGAACAAGCCCCTAGACCTCTACAGATGCGGTCTGGCTAGCTAGGCCTACAACTCTTGGCTGGTTGGATGAGTTCCGGGGTCACTCTGCCTCTAAAGTCAACATTACAATAACGAAGTTGTGGACACAAAGGCTACCGTTTCCACTAAAATTTTACCACGTTATCAGTTTAAGGTAAACGTAAACGTGGGGTGCACAATTTTTTTTTGTCTTTATGTTTATTTTATTTAAATCATTATTTCTAAGAAATGGACAACAACTTTAAGTTTAAAACAAGACATATTTCGATCGTTCAACGATCATCTTCAGTGGTGAATTCGTTTACAAGTTCGGTTGAATTAATACAAGTAATGGCGTATAAGTAAAACGTGATACAATTCAAAATTTCGAAAAAATCAGCGTACAATTTTAAGAAGCGCGAGACACAGAATAACACTTGCGCGAGCACTACACGTAAGAGCATAAATCCGAAAATATCGAGAGTCGGCCGACAGAAGCGAAGTAACGAATTTTTTCTTATTTGGCCAAAAGAACCCATTTGGCTAACTATTTTCGGAAATGACATCAAAAAATTCGATTTCCTCTTCCTTTCTTCGAAATTTGCAAAACTTGAAAATTCGGTCACAGGGCCTTCAGCGGCGGCCATGAGGCTTGAAATTTGGCACATGTTCAACATGCTCGTA